GCCGGGGCCGCCGCTGCTCGGCTGCCGCGACATGCGCGACGCGAGCGGCGTGCGCTACCTGGGCTCCGGCTACACCAAGGCCGTCTACCGCGCCCTGCTCAACGGCTCGCGCGCCGTGGCGCTCAAGGCGGTCGACTTCGGCGGGCACGACGTGGCCGGCTGCGTGCGGCAGTTCGCCGCGCTCGGCGACTGCTACCGCCTGGCCGCCTACAAGCTCGTCAAGGAGATGGTGCTGCTGCAGCGGCTGCGGCACCGCAACGTGCTGCAGGTAACGGCGGGCGCGGGGCTGCGGCGGCGGGAGCCGCTCCGCCGCGGCCGGGGCTCCCCCTCGGGAGCGGCGGCCGCGGTGCCGCTCGAGGCCGGGGCTGCCGGGCTGCGCTGCGCTGTGCCGGGCAAGGAAGGGGCGGCCGCCTCCGCACGGCGCTTGTGCGGGTCCCATCGGGGGATCCCCGGTGCTCCCTGCGCGGTGCCGGGTGAGGCTGCGGCGCCGACGGCGAGGGCTCCTGCCGAGAGGTGCCGCGTGCCGCGGTCCCGCTGGAAAAGCGGGCTGCGCGGCTGTGAGGAGCGGCTGGGAATGCCCCCCGCGCTCGGGAATGCGACGGGAGCTTTCACCAAAATTGTTTTCCACGTTTGGTGGCAAAACTGAGCTCGGAGTCTGGGCGCCTAAAGCCGCACTTTGGTCGCTAGTGGCCATGCCCTCTTTTCCAGGTGTTGCCAGAGTGTAGTTCCCTTTTTCCTAAGGAAGGATTAACTTGTGGGTCGGTTGTCCTCTGTGCGGTGTAGAAGCCAAGCTCCTGTGTGATCTGTGGATGGGCGACAGCAGCTGTATCGGGGCTAACGCCGCATTGCTAAAGCCCCCGGGAGCAACGTCCCTTTCCCCTCAGTCCCGAGGAACCCCACATGAGTTTGTTCCTCTGTTCCGGCCCTTCATATGGGCTAAGGAACGGGCAAACCAAGTGGGAATGCCAAGTATCCCGTTGGGCGATGCCAGTGCAGAGGGCCCGCGTGGGAGCGTGTGGCTCCGGCACGAGCAGCCGCTTCCCAGGCTCTGGTGAGCAGGAAGGCACCCGGCCTCCGTGCTGGGAAAAGGCTCCAGCGCACGGAACTCCCCCGTGCTAATTGGGCCTTCATATTTGCACGCCACCCCATTTAAAAATAGATCGTACTTAAGTCAGAAACACATTTTCTGTTTCACTGCAGTTTTTGTCGTCGCCTCCTTTTGTGTGTCCTCAGCTGCTGGGCGCTGGTGGGGCCTCTTTGCTGAGATGGAGGGAAGCGGCGAGCCCCGTAAATCCCTGCCCTTCCCGTTCAACCTATTCCATGCTAGGGAAGCAGGGGGCAAGGCTACGGTGTGCGCTAACACTTTGATAAAGTGTCACCTTGAGAGGAGCCTATAAAAATCAGCCTGAGGGCCTTGATCTAGTCACGGTTGGAGGACATGTGTGGGCCAGTAAGGGGTCTCCAATGTCATCCTGGAGCTGTAAAACAGAGCGTAAAGCGGGGAGCAGTGAGCAAGCTGAAACTTCTCCTAGGTTAGTGATGTTGTCTGCTGCAGCCTCAGACCTTGCACGACTGGAGTGATGGTCCCTTGTTCCCCGGGAGCCAGGCTGGGGCTCTCGCCTGGCTCCGTGAGAAGAGAGCAGTTCAGGAGCAAACATCTCCCCAGCGCCGGCATCCGGCAGAGCTCCGGGTTAGCTGCAGCGGCAGGACCCACACTGCTCACGGATGCCACATTCACCGCACACCATTGGGCAGTAAAAAGCCGGGAGGTTTTCTTGTCTCCTTGTTGCTGTGGTGTGTATTTATTTTCCATGTTTTTCTTCTCCATGGGAAGAGGGAACACCTTTGTTGCTGCCGCTGTGGGCGCTCGCCTGCCCCAGCCAGGGCTGTTTGGGGTGAATATGTTTATGGGCTGCTCTTGGTGGAAGTAAAGCTCTCCTTTGGTGTAGGTTCTGTCCGAGGGAAGGAGATTTCCCTGTAAATCTCTGGCAGTTGACAGCCTGAAGTGTAGTTTGTAAGATAACAGACTTGTTCTTTACTGTCTCAGCAGTTCCCTTTCTGGCCTGTCTCTTGTCAAAATCAGCTTTTTTTTTTTTTTTTTTTCTTTCCCCTTTTCTTTAGGCATCCCTTTAAACCGCTCGATTATTGTGTGATATATGATAGAAGGGGAAAGGGCCCTTTCCCGAGGCCCCCCGTGCCTTGAGACAGCAAGTGACGTGTCTGCGCTGCCCCTGCCAGCGGCCACGTGTGTCGGCTCCGGCACATCTGCCCCGTCAGGCCCGGCCAAGAAGCGGGCAGAGCCCGCAAGGAAGCGGCACCGCGTTGGCCGAGACGGGTTGTGTTTGTGTGTTCATTACCCCCGTGTTTTGCCCCTTGCGAGGGTGCCCGTGTGCGGGAGCCGGGCGCTGCCGGCGGCTCCCCGGTGCCTGGGGCAGGTGCAGGCCACGGGGTGGGAGCGCTCCCTCTGGAGAGGGGTGCTTCCTTACAGTCGGTTTCATAATGAAAGTCCCTGGAGAAGAGGAGGAGCTGGGTCATGGATTCATTGTGAGCCAGGGTTTAGCGGCCTGCTAATTGCAGCCGCCCCGGTGTCAAACGCGGCCGGTGATCTCTTCCCCGGCACGGTGCTTGCTTTCCTTGCACAGTTCACATACTCCTGTGTCCAAGTCCTGCCTTTCCATGTGTGCAGTGGGAGGGTGATTTAGTGTGCTTTGATTCCTCCTTTTCCTGTTTGAGGAGGAATCAACCCGCTTGCAGTTAATCTCAAACAACGAGCGGGGTTCTGAGCACACGCGGGCGATGTTGGAGTTGCAGTAATGCTGAAGCAATGCAGTGTTGGCCCTGCTAAGGTGTCAGTGCTAAGGGAGCCGCCGTTCCTGGGCACAAGCTTTTCCCTGGGTGGGAAAATCTCCCTTGCTTGGCACTACTGGAGCCGGTGGAAAGTCGAGCAAGGCTTGAGGCTGGTAGGCCCTTGGCTAAATGCAGGCTTATTTCTGTGGCAGAGCACGTCCAGCATCAGCTCCATGATTCACCGAGGAGGGAACCACTCCCTTGGAAAGCAGCACAAAAGCTCAGCCCAAAGTGCTGGCTCTTCCTGAGGACGGCAGCCGGTGGCACGACCAGGAGTCCGCAGGCTGCCGAGCCAGGGCCCTCTCATTTGCCTTGTGCAGCTCTTGGAGTTAAAGCAAGCTGATGAAATACTGAAATAGATCATCACTGAAAGTCCCCATCTAATTTAGGATGTCAAAGCAATCTTTATATGAATTGATTCAGTTAGCACTAGTGGATTTATTACTGATTTATTTGAAATGGTCATGATTACAGTGTGACTGTCACTTAGAAAATTCATTGACTAAAATACAACTAAAATAAGTCACTTGCTGTTGACAAGCTCAGTAGTGCTTAAGATGTGCTGGTTGATTTTTTTGCTGTTGGTTATTACAACCAGCTAACGTGTTTTCAAGTATAATTTTCTTTTTACATTTGATAATGAACCTAATTAACAGGCATTTTACCATGATGGTTTCCCTATGCATAGGCAAAGCCAGCTGGAAAGGGCACAGTTTTATTTTTAACTTGAGAATTAAAATAGTGAGGCTCTGGATGCAGCTTACTTATTCCATGTGGAAGTAGACGGCGCCTTTCCAAGCATGAAGAGTTTGCTGTTAATTTCCAGTGCAGAGGCAGTGGCATGGAAATGTGTGGGTTCTTGGAGGTCTGGTCCTCCTTGCAGTGACCCATGGCCATGTTCATGGATGGTAATGGGAGGAAAGACCAGGTGCTGGTAGGAAGGGTCCCTCGGGATGCTCTTCCCAGGTGGTGGCAGTGGGTGGGAATGGCCCTGGGATAGGAGCTGGGCATTGCTCCCTCTCTGTGGTGGCCATGGCACGGGGTGCTGAGCAGCAGTCTCGGACCCCCAGTTTGACCATTAAAACGGTGGGAGCCACCAGCCTGAGAAGAGCAGCGCGATGTGAGGTGGGATGCAAGGTTGTCTGTAGGGCATGGTTTTGAGTGCAAGGTGGTTTTGGATAGAGAATATTCTAGCAGGATACTTTAAATGACTTGCTTTGACCATGCTTGGGTCAGGCCCAGATCAGTGAGGCCACCTCAGGTCCTGGTGGGGTGGCCTGGGGAGCTCCCGCCTTTCACTCTCCACCCCCTTCTCCTGATGGGAGCGATCCCGCCTGTGGCCTATACTGGACCCAACAGAGCTGCAACTTGGCGAGTCCCTCCTTGGTGTTACCTCCAGGGGCATGAGGCCCCTGGGCGCTGGCGAGGCGGCTCCTGGCTTGGCGTGTGGGGTGAGGGCCCGGCCACGCGTGGGTGGCAGGGGAAAGCGGGCAGTGCCACCTGCCGCCGGCGGCTCGCGCTGCTGGTGTCCGTCCCCAGCGCCCGGGAGCCGGCGGGGCGGCCCAGGGCAGCGGGAGCAAGACGGATGCGGTTTGGCGAGGAGAGAGGGATGGGATTGTGCGGTGCTGCTCTGCTCCGCCGCGAAGCAGCCTCCCCCGGGGCCCAGATGTTACCCCGCGCCTCGGGGAGTGAGGAAAGGATCTGTTAACGGGAGCGCCGGAGCTGCTGGAAGCGCGGGGCTGATCCAATTGCAAACCAGCCCTGGCCCTTCATGTCACTGGAAGACACGCTGCACATCTTGACTCTGAAGTCGCCAAATAGCTTTTGTTTTCTTTTTTTTTTTTTTTTTTTTTCTCCATTGAATTGCAGAAGATAGCAGAGGGTGTTGAGGTTGCAGAGGTCTTGGCAGGAGGAGTTTTCCATAGGGCAAGAACATGCCATCAAATTAGTTAGTCGCTTTGGAAAACAGTGTTCATAAAACTAATCCCCCGTCATTTGCTGAATGATTTCTGCGATCGCTTCTCTGGTTTATGTGCCATGTAAATCACTCTGCAGCACTCTGGTTTGAATTTCTGCTCCCTTGTGGGAGCTGATGACTTCCAATGTCGCTGGGCTGCCTTCCATGGCAGCCCAGCCTTGTTCCTGCACCGCCGTCCTGGGAGGCTGCTGTTCTGTGAGGCCCTGCCCAGGGAGCTGCTTTGACCCAGGTGACATCCTGGGAATTGCAGGAGGCTAAAATTTTTAAGGTCTTTTCCTTGTTTTTTTCTTTAAGTGCCATCGTCACCTGGCTGGTTGGAGAGGTCCCCTGTGGCATCTCACTGCCCTCGCAGTTTCTCTTCTCAGCATTGCCTGTGCAAGCCTTGCCAAGAACTGGTTCTCGCAGGCGGTGTGCTAAGGCTAATATTGATTCTAGGCTAATTT